AAACAAGAGAGCGTGAGAATTGTCACGTGATCTCGATGACCCAACAATATTATTACGTCTCTGTTCGTTTGTTAATTTTCCGTACAATCTATTTCTGATGAAATTTCAGCGACACAAATCCTTTCTCAAATAAAACTAGTTTATTCCCTCTCAATACAACTTTGCAATACACAGAATTTCCACAGTCAGTTTAACTTAAACACACGCTATAATCCACAACGATTTACACACTTTACTTACGGCTTGACTCGATTATCTGTCTCTATCTCCCTGTCTGCTATTCAATTATCTATGCCGTCACTTCTCGCCTGTCTTATATATACAAAATAGAGGGCGTCTGGCAAACACTCGAGCTGTCAGGAACGTTCGAGACACTCATTACGTGTTTCCAGCGTCACGTGACTTCCGCCGTCGTAACACTGCCCCTTCCTTACGATTGTTACGTTTCTGTTCGTTTGTTAATTTCCAGTAGAAATTCTTCCCGAGAAACTTCAGCGATACAAGTTCTTTCTTAAATAAAACTAGTTTATTCTTTCTCAATACAACTTTGCAATAACTTAACTTCCACAGTCACTTAAACACACACTATAATTCTCAACGAACGATTCACGCACTTTACTTACTACCGCGCTTGCCTCAATTGTCCGTCTATATCTTCAATCTCTCTGTTCACTATTGAATTCCGATTAATTGTCTGGCGCACTTATATACAAGAATAGAGGGCGCCTAGCAAATACTGGATTATTCGTGATGTTCCCCGATCTTTCTAGAACTCATTACGTATTACCAGCGTCACGTGACTTTCGCTGTCGTAACAGTATTGTTCGTCCCGAACAATAGCAACTTAAGTTAAACCAATAGATAATTAACAATAACTTAATTAAATGCACAGGATTTACAAACACAAAATTAAAATTCATCAAAGTCTCTTAATTTTACGGTACGTATCTTCTTCCTTAGTGGCTTCTGCTTCACGTGAGATTCATCTGCTCCATCAGGAATTGTCCTATTATCGGTAATAGTTAAATGAATGGTAGTAACTTCATCAAGGGCTTCACTGTTACCCTTCTCAAAACCAAGTAGAGTTTCTTCTTCGACAGTGGCCTTTCCAGGTGACACGTCTTCAGTGGCATCTTTTGTTCCATTGTTTACTTCATCCCAACTGAAATGTCCTGGACTATGATAACGCCAAAGCCTGTTAGCATGCACCACCTTTGGCTTACCTCGTTGACCACATTTTATCTGGAAAGTCACGTCTGAGAGACGATCCACTATGTCATATGGTCCTTCCCATGGAGATTACAACTTAGGAGACTTCCCTTTGGTCTACCTAGGATAATACAACCACACCTTGTCTCCTGGTACAAAACTGACTTTATTAGATCTCTTATCACAAAATAACTTTATCGAATCAGCAGACGTTTTCAAGTTTGAATGCACTTGATGGTGAATATTATCCTTCCTTTCCGATAACACTTTTACAAACTGTGACACATTTTCAGGCAACTCTTCGTAAGGTGGGCGTCCTGTTAACAGATCCACTGGCAACCGAAGTTCCCAATCAAACATCCACTTTGCTGGAGTGTATCCAGTGGTTTCATGCTCTGCTGTCCTATAGGCCATCAACAGTGGAGGGAGTAAGACATTCCAGTCATCTTGGCGATTATTACAAAACTTTGCCAATTCCTGTCCTAGTGTCCAGTTGTACTTTTCTACCATCCCATGAGACTGTGGGTGAAGTGGCGTTGTTCTGGTCTTTCGTATGCCAAACAACTTGCAGCATTCATGGAACAAAGCTGATTAAAAATTATA